GTAACAGACAAAAAATGCACAAACGGGGACAAATTAGATTTAAAACCCTGCTAGGTAGCTTACATTACTACTGGCTGGAAATAGACGATAATTAATCACATTACAAGGCTTTGTAAAGAGGGAAATCTTGGTCTAAATGGCACACATGCATGTAAGATAGATTACAGCAAATACACTAATTAGAATTGTAAAGTAGTAATCCGACACAGGCCCTTTGTCGGCCAGAACAGTTTTGTTAATATCAGCTAACATGACAAATCAGTATCAGAATCAGAAACATTATTGTCAGTGCTGAGGAATAGGGAGTTGTCAGACAAAATCGCAATACATGATACAGTTAAACTGAGAAAAGACCAGTCTCCGTGAAGTTTCTGGGGTATTTTATTTCAACATGACACAAATATTTTGGGTGAATTTCCTATGATTTAGGGACAAACATGTCTAGGTATAGGGTAGAATGTATAGGTCTAGTGGATTGATTGTAAGGGATAGAATATCCGGGTCCATGTCCAATGATATCCCTAGAAATACATTTGATTTAGTATGTCTGGTGTAGGGTATCTTTGGAGATGGTAGGGGGGATGTGGGTGGGTTACTGACACAGGTAAGGTGTGGATAGACAGGTGTGTGTATGGGAATTCAAAGGTACAGCATGGGGAGACAAGTAGGGGAAGGGAAGACAAGCTAGGGATGTTAGGGTTGTTGAGATGGGTGTGGAGTTCTAGACAGGTAGGGAGTAGGGATTTAGACAGGTAGGGAGTGGGGATTTAGACAGGTAGGAAGTGGGGATTTAGACAGGTAGGGAGTGGGGATTTGGACAGGTAGGGAGTGGGGATTTAGACAGATAGGGAGTGGGGATTTAGACAGGTAGACTGGGGAGGGGTTGTTCAAACAGGAGGAGGAAGCATAATATTATGATGATTATTGGGTAGGGGGAAATAAGGGTATATGTTCTTGAGATGGGGGTCCATAGGGCTGGGAAGACATTGAAGTGATCTGTTTTGAAACAATGTCTTTGTAAATATTACACAAACTAATTTATTCCTACAGGAATTCCTCTTAGGTTAAAGATAGGGGAGTGTGACTGGGCAGATAGGGAAGACAGGCTTAGAAGATAGTACCGACTACGTGTTTACAGGTGTGCCTTACAAAATAACACCTGTAAAAATATCTAACAGCAAGTAGGCTCTGATTTCCTGTGGAGTCATTTAATATAGCAAGTCTTGGTACATACACTACACAGAGGACAGGTGTGACCAGTTATACAGGTGGTGGCTAACAACTGTTAGGATCTGTCTAATATAGAGAGGCATCATATGTCCAGTTTAAACAGATGTTTGGGTTAGACAGGTATATATTTTGTCAGATTAGACAGGTAAGAAATTGTCCAGGATAGACGAGTACTGTAAATCCAGGTTAGACATGTAGATATCTCATCAGATAAGACAGGTAAGGATCTTTCCAGGATAGACAAGTAGACAGGTAAGGATTTGTCCAGGTTAGACAGGTAACTATCTTGTCAGGTAAGACAGGTAAAAATCTGGTAAAAATCTGTCAGAATAGAAAGATAAATTAATATTTTGTCAGATTAGACAGATATCATTATAGAAAGGCCAGATCAAAGGATTCAGGCTATACATAAACACAGAGGTGTTATTTTGACATACAGCTTCCTTATCGAGAAATCATAAACCTTCTATTCAGCATTGACCATACTCACAGTGCTGGCTGGATCTTTTTTACACTGCTTTGCCTTTAAATGCTAGAAATCGCATCTTTCATGGCGATAAATCTGGCCACTCTATTGAATGCTAGTCAGCCTTGTGATAAAATAGACGGGAAATGGTGTTTATATGTAATTATTTATCATTCCGTGATAATAACCCTGCACAGAATAAATAAGTCGAATCGATGGAGGTGTGTAGCCCTTACCATGGAAATCTGGGATAACATTAGCCTCAGTAATCAATCCTGCAAAAAATCAATAAATAAATTGAAACATGAAATGATTTTGTTGCTGTATTATATTGGAGCCATATCTTGATCTTGATCTAAACATCAATTGTAATGGTTGAAACATTTAAAACGGTTTTAACAGCCGTGTTCTGTCATATCCATCCTGATAATCTGTCGTACAGAAAATTGTGGTTGTCAGTTGGCGTACAACGAGAGGGGAATTTAAGTAGCCAAGGCAATAGAAAAGATTTAGGCACTAAGTAACGGCTACGAAACTAAAGCTATATAACACTAAGTAACGGCTACAATACACAAGTTTTATAACACATTTCTATTTCCACTTAATGTATCTACTCTGATTTTCACATTTAAAATATTTATTCTGATTTCTACATCACAATATTGAATTTTGTCACCTTTTCAATAAACAGGTGTGAAATTCAATCAAGAATGGATTCTACTGAAAGAAAGAAAACATCAGTAATTTTGTATTGATGTTTTGTCACCAACAACTGTTAGATTTCAAACAGAAATGTTGCTATGAAAACATATGTAGGTGCTTCGAACTGGGATAGACATGAATTATCTCCCCTGATTTTGGTTTTGATACAAAGCTTGTAAAAATGGGCTGTATGCTTAGCAGTCTCTCTCTGTGAATGGTGCGATGCCATAGATGTGTGTATGTTGTCCTAGGGTTTTAAAGACGGCGTGATTTCATAATAACTAAATGAAAATGGAAGATAATTGCGTTTTTATTTGGAATTTTCACATTGCAACATGGCACCATGGTGAGAAAGTTATTCAGCAGGGACTTGAGTAAAAATGACTGGGAGCCCACACTCACGACTATTAGCGATGTAATTAACAGTAAATACAAAATGTTTAAAATGTATGGTTCCTCATTCAATTCCCTTGGGTAATCCACATCTGTACCGCGAAGATTTAATTTAAAATCTGAATCTACTGCCATCTGGTCACAGAATATGCTGCACCTATATTATTATTTTATGAAATGAGATATTAGGGCATCACGCAAATGTTCATAAAAAGAAACATAAGAACCTCACGCACAAATATGCATATTACCTAATATAATCAGGTTCACAGCATCATGGAGGAATCGGGCAATCCAAACGATGCCCTCCAGCGAACGACGTATAAATCTTGATAACTTTTGTGATAGAATTATTAATATTCATATAATGGGTTAGTTTTGTATGGTAATTCGTGGAAGCTGATAAGCTTTGCAGGTTGTGTCATAAAAATTACGTAAATTGGCGGAGTTATGAGCCAATTTAATCAAGCGTGCAGAGCGTTTGATGCATATATTAGATAATGGGGAAACTTTATATGGTCCACGAGAGGTGTTTGCATATTTGTAATGGACATCAACACCGTGAATTTCCACAGAACGATGAAATCCATGACCTGAATGACATGATACAGGTGACGTTTTGTAAACATACACACCCATCTCCCTCCCTGTCAGTACCATCCTAGACCATGCAACACTGTCACTTCTATCCCAGTCCTGATCTCACAAAAACCGGTCTCAGTGTTGGTATATCATACATTGTTTGACCAATCATTATTTAAATTGAGTAAAAAATGTTTCATGGGGTCTGTCTTGTCCAAATAATGCCATGTTTTCAAATTATAAGTTCAGTAGGAGGAAGGGACTACTAAGTACCATGCATTCCCTTGAAACTTTTGACAGTTGGTTTTTCTGGTTGCCAGAAACTTGTAGAAAATGATTATCTGTATGAATGACGGCAGATTGTCGTTGAAACCTTCAAAGTCTTCAGTCGTTTTAATTCTATGGAAATAAGACATTCTGGTATGTTGTTGCTGTGGTGATTTTGGTATCCAGAGCAACACAGTCAAATCTTATCAGACATAGATGTGTTTACTTTTGAAAAACACAAAATTTCATAAATATCTTGCGTTTTATTATTCACTAATGTCAGAGTTCGAGAATATTGTTTAAAGTTACAAGAAATAAAACTGTACAATGTTTCTTGCAAAACAAAAACGAAATATACATCGGAGCAATGTTTTTGGCTAGACAACGGCATTATAATCAAGCATTAATGCCGTAGTAAAAACAGGCATGCAAAAACACTGCAGAGAATATGTAGTGAGAGAAAATTTGTCCCAGATTTTCAGATAGCATTAAATGCCAAACGATGTGCATGTTGTTTCGAGAGTACAAGAAACAGAAGTTGTGAAATGCAGTGAATCGGTTTAACAGGAATAAACATCAAAATGTTTACAATCACAGGGACAGTCCCTGTATTGTACAGAGACTTTTGATGTGTCTTTATAATGCAAAGCAGAATAAATGTTTGTGTTGGAATATATGAAAAAAATGCACTCTAAAAGTTTACCCAAGAGAGCGTTGTGAAACACTGAAGGGCCACGTGGTATATTTTATATGATATTAGAATTCAGCCCCACCCCAGGAAACAGATAAAAAATACTCGCCCATTATCACTGTTCCCTGGGAACTGAGATAAACAAAATGGCTGACAGTCGGAGGACTGTTGATACAGGGTGCTTGGGTGGTGATAAGGCATGATGGGTACACATGTGTCGCCCCTGATCTCCCCAGGTATGAGGCTGCTTGATTGCTGCATTACGGAGTCCACCAGCAACAAAACTAAACATTAGGCCAAATGGTCCCATGTCATACTGGGAAGTAAATTTACTACGGTAAAACTCAATCTAAAGTAATGTTATAAATGCTGTTCTGGGCAGGGAGCTATTTCCGTTTTCTGTAGAATGGTGAGAACGAGGATATTTGAGACAATGTGTTTTAAGTCAGTAAATGGTTGTTAAAATTAATGTTCAGATTAGCAAGGCAAGGGTGAAAAAGAGCAGGAAGAAATGTTAACAGAAATGTTGGGAGTGTAAATACAGAGGTGAACAAAGGTGAGGAGGAGGGCATTTAAACTTGATGAACTACAATATTTATACCAATTTACATCGTGTAAACAGCATTTGTTAAATTTGTATATTAAAGAGAATTTCTATTATTTTTGCAGATGAAGAGACTGGTATGGTGAAACAGGATAACAATCTCTACCCACAAACTCCCGAGGAGGACCTCTCTAAAGAATGGTGTAAGTAAAAAAAAAAGGGATATGTGTGGTGCGCAATAAGTTGTCTTCTTTTTAAGTTTAGGTCTTGCTGTGATATCAATTAGCTGAACAATGATGCTAGGTATTTAATATACCTCACACAAAGATTTCTGATCCTTACACAAATATATGTTATCACTGAAATATTCTGATAACATCTACTGAAACAATATGTTTGAGTTCCGGAATGGAATTTTCATCAGGAGCTTTGATAATTTGTTCACGGACTGCATCATTTTCTAAATTTAATTTGCACTGGAATAAGTGCTGGAAAATTGGAATTGCCTACAGTGTTGCCATGTTCTTAATGAAACAATAAAAAGATAGCGAGTAAGTGACACCGCTATATAGCCGAGGGCTCACAGACTTGTTATTTTGAGAAGATATCTAATTTATCTACTTAACAAATATTGCAGCAAAGCCGAGATTTATCCAGCCAGAGAAAATGAAGAAGCGAGATTACCAGAGGCCTGTTGGCAGTTCTGTCAGGTTTGTCTGTAAGGCTGTTGGTAACCCACGACCTCAAGTGTCATGGCTGAAGGACGGCAACAGCATCTCCACTGAGGATGACAATTCCAAGCGGCCATCTTGGACGCTGAAGATAACGGAACTGACGGAGAGTGACAGTGGCAGATACTCGTGTGTTGTCAACAACAGACAGGGGTCGATCACCTACAATTACTCCCTGGAGGTCATCAGTAAGTCATTAGTAAAGGTCATAGAAAGTTGACCCATATGCATAGGTCAAAGGTTATAGAAAAAGACACATGCTCAAAGGTCAAAGTCATAGAATGATTACCCATACTCATAGGTCAAATATTAAAGGTTATAGAAAAAACGCATACTCATAGGTCAAAAGTTTCAGAAAAAGACCCATACTCAGAGGTCAAAGATCATATAGAAAGATGAGCTATACGTATAGGTCAAAGGTTGAAGAAATATTACCCATAATCATAGATCAAGGTGACTTTTACTATATTTTGGCAAATTTTTACATGCAGTGGTTGTACATAAAATTACACGGAGAATTAGGAAGGATGTGATCTTTTTAATACATAATTTAAATTCTAGTAAAAAGTTTTACGGTTTTTAATTAGAAAAAAAAAATGAAATTGTTTTTGTCTTTGACAGTATTTTAATATAATGTGACTACTTTGTTTTTACAGAAAAATTTAATGAGAAGCCAGTACTCCTGAAGCCCCACCCCCTGAACACTACTGTGGAGTACGGGGAGACAGCTTCCCTCCAGTGTAAGGTGGAGAGTGTTGTACAGCCCCACATACAGGTAAGTCCTAAATACTCATCTTATTTGTCCCCTCGCGGGTACTACCAAACATCCTGTATGATGTCCCCTCACTGGTACTACCAAACATCCTGTATGATGTCCCCTCACGGGTACTACCAAACATCCTGTACGATGTCCCCTCACCGGTACTACCAAACATCCTGTATGATGTCCCCTCACGGGTACTACCAAACATCCTGTATGATGTCCCCTCACGGGTACTACCAAACATCCTGTATGATGTCCCCTCACGGGTACTACCAAACATCCTGTATGATGTCCCCTCACGGGTACTACCAAACATCCTGTATGATGTCCCCTCACGGGTACTACCAAACATCCTGTATGATGTCCCCTCACGGGTACTACCAAACATCCTGTATGATGTCCCCTCACGGGTACTACCAAACATCCTGTATGATGTCCCCTCACGGGTACTACCAAACATCCTGTATGATGCTGTCCATCCCTCATTAAAGTTTGCCCTTCATTGCTTCAGAATGTCAAAGGTGTATCCTTGCATCAGGGATGCAAATGGGGATTGGAAATATAGGGGAAACAAATTGACAAACATGCCTCACCTCCATAGAAGTTTTGGATTTTTAAATGATGTTTCAGAACAAAACCTATAAAATCATGGCAAAACTTTCTATAGACCAAAAAAAACGTAATACCAAACATGATGAAAATAATGAATGTGGTTGTAAGCAGCATATAAGAAGAATTAAATTGATTTTTTTCAGTGGTTGAAGCGCGTGGATGATCCATCGGAGGTGAAAAACATGAACACAACATTACGTCTGGGTGGCCAGCAATTTATTGTATTAAAAACAGGCGAGGTGTGGCCGGGACCTGACAACACCTACCTCAACAAGCTTGTTATACAAAAGGCAAGGGACCGTGACTCTGGGGTCTACATCTGTCTGGGGGCCAACGCCATGGGATATAACGTCAGGAGCGCCTACCTCACTGTCGTCAACAGTAAGTACAAATGTTACTGGGTGGGCTCCGGTAGAATTTGCACTGGTTAAAGAACACACAATTGTTTTTAAATTCTGAAATTTCTCATAAATAATCAAGTTAAGGAATTTCTTATTTCAAATTTAATTCAAACAAATTATCAAAATACTTGTTAAACGAACAAAACAAACCTAAAAAAAGAAACCTTTTTCGTAAATGTGTTGAAAATATTTTGATTAAATAGAATGTATATTTAATTTTTCTTCTTTTTCCCCGCAGCCAATCCCCATAGGTCGTCACTGGATTCGGATAACGGAAGCAGTAGTCTCCCTTTGATGATTGCTGTTCCTACATGTATCATCATTATCATAGTCGTCATGGCAATCATTCTTTTACAAAAACGGAAAAGCTGCAATAGTTCATCAAACTCGAATACAAGGACTACAAGATTTAACCCTGTGCCAACACACGAGACAGAACCTTATCCTCCGCTTCAAAACAATCCCGCCACGAACTTACACATCAATCCGATGCAAAATGTAAATGTCAGAGACATGTATACAGGGGTACACAACCCACATTTAATACAAAGCAGTCGAGAAAAGTTATCAAAAAATCATAGTATTGACTTTTATACAGACATATCCTCGGTGTCCCAGAGTAGAAATAATCCCCATTCATCTCAACACATGCAGCAGTACTCCTACTGACGAAACTTCATGTGGCGTGTCATTGTCGTGTATGTTACCATGGAAACTTAAAATTGGTTACCATGGAAACAGTGACTATAAAACACCTTAGAACAACAAGATGTGCTCCCACATACCCAATCATTGTTCAGAGGGATTCGACTTGTTACCTCAATCAAGAAGTATACGCAATACAAGACATCATATTCTGAGAAACCTACATACATATTCTGTGATTAGTTTTGCCTTCTTCATATTAATATCTTTGGTACAGTGTGGGAGAAACATAATCTGTTGTGGTTATCGGACAAAAGGACAAGTTTTATTTTCAAAAACTTTGAATTCACCGAAGATTTGGAATAAAACAAAGCTTGCGATCACCAAGTTGCCAAAGTCATGTGAAGTATTTTTGATACAACCATCAAACTTATCAGTAAGGTTGTGACTTAGAAAAACTACTTCAACAAGAGGGATCTGATGGTGAAAATCACACATGAAGTGTAGATTAGTGAAACAGAAAAATGGAAGAGCTGACTTCAATAAACACCTGATGTTTTGGTTGTGAATGGAGGATGACGACCCAGCAGTTACCTGTGCAATTGACACTAATGTGAAGAGTTAGATACCTTTGAGAGTATCTGCCCTTGGGGGAAAAACGTGTGTTTGGACTTAATAATATGGTGAGACAAAACACAGAACAATAAGGTTGTGACACCATAAGTAAACAACTCAATAATCCCACTGTGTGAGACACTTTGGTGGTGTGATACCAGTGATAGATTCCTTAATGAGTTATCTGCCCTTGTCTCAATAATCCAAGGGTCAATGTTGCAATATTCACAAGTGAAGTAGATATTTTGTGCTGCAATAAGATGAAGATGTATGACATATTGATGGTTAATCTACAAAATCTGTAATTCACTGTTACAATGAAGTATCTACAAACATTTTGTATTCTGAAGCTTTTGTACCTGTGAGGACACAAAAAGTGCATCATGTGAATGAAGAGCTACATATATGAGATGTTTAAAGAAAAGATTTCTTTGAATTTTGAGTAATATATATTTCCAGGAAATGTAAAACAATGACTTCCAGTGTTAAGTGAACACCATAGTCGAGACATATCTGTTGAAGGATGTCCGTTTCATGGTGTAATCAAAGACGGCCGACTCTGTGATGATATTTGCCCATATATAATAATTGATATACACAAATTGACCTTCCTAGTGTCAGCAAGCATTAAGGTATACCTGTGTAGTGTGGACGTGACAGAGAGATTGAGATCTATAAATATGTGTAATTGAAAAACTGGATGTGAGTGATTGATGATTGAGAGAGATGAGAGAAAGTTGGTGTATCTGTATGTGTATGGGAGATATCATAAGTAAATCATGGGTGGACGTGATTCAGACATGTGAAGGGTGAACGTTGGTCAGACGATCATTGGGAATCTGCTCTACATAGTCTCATTCTAGGACCCGGCCATTATTGGATAATGGGCATGCACATCTTTGGATTGAAAATTATCAAAATCACAAAAGATAATAGAATATTGATATTCTGTCAAAAATTGTTAGAAAACAGCAAGTGACTCAATTTGATTTCAGTCAAAAAGCTGTAAAACCTTGTTCAGTACTTTATATCCAATCTGAAGCAAATTAATATTTCACATAACTTTGATATTAACTTTTTTCTCAATTTTTTTTTAACTTTAAAAATCCAAACAAATGTTGGACTAGTTTTTCTTTTCATGTCGTATATTCAGTGTGTTTCACTTCTTGCAAATTGAATTTGATCTATTTTCATTTTCCATAGCACTTAATTTGTGTTGTAATTTTTTCTACTTATACCATTTTCCTTTTTTAATTGCATCATTTTATGAACAAAAATTGTGCAATACCAATTTTCTATTTCTAAACATTCACTCTTTATATTGTAATTTTGCCCCCCTTTTTTTCTTAATGGATGAAAAATCTGTGAAACTGCATGTTAAATTTCAGAACTCAATTTAAATTTTCCAACTTTTAAGTGTAAAAAAAACCCCAAAACACCCCAGTCTTCTGATTGAAGGTTAGCAGAGTAAACCTAATGACAAATATTGTCATTATAATTTCCCCTAAACTAGGTGCTATGTGAATTTGTTGTTCTCTAACCTATATATGACCTTTAACCTTTTCATGCTAGGGTAACGACCTTGATTTCTACATTGTAATGCCACAAAAAATACCTAGCTGGTACAAAAACAAAGTCAAGTGCCTTGTAGCAGTTCAAAACTGACAACAGTCTGTCACTAAAACGTATTTGTTTATCAGGCCCACATTAATTAGCCAAGTATGATTTGAAAATTATATTAATTTGAATAAATTTCATTAACAATAGGTTATTGTCCCCCGCGGGGTAATATGTTGGTTCGATGCTTATGTTGGTGTATAATCCTGTCTCAGTATTCATAGCATTCAGATTAAAACAGGACATTACTATATATCCTAACTCCCTCCGACAGTTATATCCTGTCTGATAAACGAGAGGGGTGTCAACAAATGTCAACACCAATAATAACTCATCCGTTTACATGGCAAATTTCCTTTTTAATTGGACAAATTACCCAATAAAATAGGTCAAATTTAGTTCAGATTCAACAGCATTCACTGTGGGAAACAATAGTCTCCTTAATCCATACTTTTTAATTTTCAAAAAATATGCTGCAGTTGAAGCATTTTTTTCTGGGAGGAGGATGAACACACAACAGTGTATGAAGAACGTGAGTGTGGGCCAGTCAATATTCCTGATGACATGATACAACAAGGAGAAATTATTTTTGTACATGAAGTACTATAATCTATTGTAAAATTTTCAGTGAACGTCGAGACGACATTTGACATGTAAATGTATGCTCAATCTTTGTCAATCCAGCCAGCCTTCTTCCTGACATTTTATGATACATCGTCATTCCTGGGACCAAATAAGTTGTCCGGTTTCAGAGAGTTCTAGATTATAGAGATGAGGCGGTGAGGTTTAGACAGAGGAGTGTAAACAGATAAAGAAGAGCTTTGTTGATCTACTGTTAGAGGTTGGATAGCAAAGTGACTAGATTACAGGGTCGTTATAGAAAAGAGGGAAAACTGACAATGATCAGTAGAACAGTAAGATCAGTGGCTGGAATGATGAAGCTTGACAAATTAATTAGTGAAACTTATTGTGAAATAAATATCTTTTGTTCTCATATAGTGAATGGAAAATTCAAGGATTACATTTTTCTATCAGGCAAAGTGCCAAATGATCATTCTCAGTTTTTTGTTTCTGTTTTTTCTTCTTCAAAATTTGTGAGTTAAAGTGAATGTTTGGTGACTTACTGAGAGTAAGCTATATACAATCTATTTTTCTAATGTTGGGAAGTAATACCAAAGAGAGACGACTACCTTACGAAGCATTATAAATCATTACTTATTGTTGATGTTCATTTTTCTGTGCAATACAATGTCAGCCGTCTGGATGTGGCTTGTCGAGTACGAATTCTTATGATAGTTTTGTTCCGTTAGGAGTTCGGTAGAATTTTACATGCAAAGGTAGTAGTGGTAATTCCCTTATCCAACATGCTCATTTACATCATTTTGAAATTTTGAATAATAAATTTATATTATTTTGATGAGTTTAACAATTAGATATCTATTTTTTTAATGAAATTATTGATTAAAATGAATTCTGAAAAAAAGTTTGGGGAAAATAAAGTACCTGTAAAGATGGAAATCTGATAACTTGATTTTACAAGCACATTTTCAATGTAAAATATACTTTGATGGAAATAAGAAACTGCTTATCTCCCTTTGCATGTAAAAGCCGACTGAACTTGTTACTTATTTGTTATGGGTTTGGTAATATGTTTTGTAGACAAAAACATTTCCATGCAGTGCTTTCATGTAAATATGGCATTAATCATTTGTAATTTATTTTCATTTATTTCTATGTATTTTACAGAGAATGTTAAGAGATGGTGTAATGACAGTAAAACACAGCATGTGTTTATATAAACTTATCTCACAACTTTGTTGTTTATTAGCCGTGTTTATTATACCCCAGCGTTGACAAGTTTCGGGTATATGGTATTCACATCTTGCATCTGAATGGATTTCTGAGAGTTTCTCCATTACTTTTTCATGTAGAATCATCTACGTTGGTACATAGTCACATCTAAGGGATGTTATGATCCAAGACTAGATTGCTGCAACCTGATTTTGAACTCTGACGTGACTCGATGATAAATCTTTTACGGAGCAATTCTCCTGTAATATTGATCTCATCTAACGTGTGTTACGAAATATGTACAAAAACCGGAGTCAATTCAATTACGTCTTAATTGCAACAGATAATTTGACCTCTGACTTAGCGGTGGCCAATTAAAGTGGTTAAGGCGTCCGACATTCTGCTACCACTAGCCCTCAAACACTGGGTCGCGGGTTAGAGACCTACGTGGGGTAGTTGCTCAGTACGGGACTTAGGTCGGTGTATTTTCTCCGGGAACTCTGACTTTCCTCCACCACCAACACCTGGCACGTCCTTAAATGACCATAGCTGTTAATAGGACATAAAACACAAACAAACCAAAAATCTGACCCCAATAAGGATAACTGAATGATTTCTGAAAAGGAAAGACTGTTTTCAGAGTAGTTCTCCTACTAGTATATACCTGCTATGCCATAAAATCCTCATTATGTGTAGTGCATCTTGGAAATAGGAAGTGTTCCATACTAAAACTAGGTCTTTGTTACCTATATTTTGACCTATGACCTCAAATAGTAAGACTTCCAGAATATAAACCATACCCTGAAGGATCACCAGACTTGATATGTTGGTACAAACACTAGATCACTTTGACCTGTATTTTGACCTCTGACTTCACTAAAGCAAGAACATGTACTATCTCCTGGAGTATCATCGTACTTGATATGTGGGTACACATAGGGAATACAGAGTAATGTGTACTGACACGAGGGCTGTGTAAGCTATTTATTCATAGTCATATCAGGAGACAACAGCAATATGGCCTTGAAACCGTCCTTACAAATACAGTAGTAGTTATAATTCAGAAATTATAATACACTTCATAGCAACATATTTACTGTACATTTCAAAATCTGCCCCAATAATGGGCATGGATCCTCCCCAATGGTGAACGCGGATACAAGGGTGCGTGATCCTATCTGAAAACTTTTATTTCCAATTTTAGCTCGGACTGTCGGGAAAGCCAGGATATCCACCAACAACATCTGCTTTCTATCTGGATAAAACATCACTACATTCAATGATAACAAATATTTAGTAATAATATTTGCTTTTACAATCTAATTGATCATTTTGTGGAATTCATTCACAAAATGGAGATTTAATTTAGTTACACAAATACACATTTGATTTCAAAATCACAGTTTTGTTTGTCTTTTACAAAAATCATATTATGTTTTATTATTAATGACAATTTGGTTGTCAATTCACATATCAGAAGTTAATTCTACAAGCTATTTTACTGTACTGAAGAAGCATTTTTTTTTTATTCTGATTCTTGGATTATCTATTCAAAGCTGTTTTTCACGTAAGCTAGATAAAAATCCCCAACAGAGCAGTTGTTTCACAATAACACTACAAAGTTCACCAGCGGAGCCATTGCTTCAAAATAACATGATAAAGTTCACCAGCGGAGCCATTGCTTCAAGAATAACATGATAAAGATCACCAGTGGAGCCATTGCTTCAAAATAACGTGATAAAGTTCACCAGCGGAGCCACTGCTTCAAGAATAACATGATAAAGATCACCAGCGGAGCAATTGCTTCAAACTAACATGATAAAGATAATCAGTGGAGCCATTTCTTCAAAATAACATGATAACGATCACCCGCGGAGCCATTGCTTCAAAATAACTTGATAAAGATCCCCAGCGGAGCCATTGCTTCAAGAATAACATGATAAAGATCACTAGCGGAGCCATTGCTTCAAGAATAACATGATAAAGATCACTAGCGGAGCCATTGCTTCAAGAATAACATGAAAAAGATCACCAGTGGAGCCATTGATTCAAAATAACATGATAAACCTTACCACTGCAGCCATTGCTTCAAAATACCATGATAAAGATCACCAGTGGAGACATTGCTTCAAAATAACATGATCACGTTCACCAGCGGAGCCATTGCATCAAAATAACATGATCAAGATCACCAGTGGAGCCATTGATTCAAAATAACATGATAAAATTCCCCAGCGGAGCCATTGCTTCAAATAACATGATAAAGATCACTAGCGGAGCCATTGCTTCAAAAGAACATGATAAAGATCATCAGTGGAGCCATTTCTTCAAAATAACATGATAAAGTTCACCAGCGGAGCCACTGCTTCAAAATAACTTGATAAAGATCCCCAGCGGAGCCATTGCTTCAAGAATAACATGATAAAGATCACCCGTGGAGCCATTGCTTCAAATAACATCATAAAGATCACCAATAGAGCCATTGCTTAAAAATAACATGATAACGTTCACCAGCGGAGCCATTGCATCAAAATAACATGATCAAGATCACCAGTGGAGCCATTTCTTCAAAATAACATGATAAAATTCACCAGCGGAGCCATTGCTTCAAAATAACATGATAAAGATCACCAGCAGAGCAGTTGTTTCACAATAGCACGATGAAGTTCACAAGAGGATCCTTTGTTTTATAATAACACCATAAGGTTTACCAGTGGAGTCATTGTTTCAAAATAGCATGACCAAGTTCACCAATATTTTACATTAGTATGGCAAATTAAATTGCTTTGGCCAGTGTTTATGCAAAGGTGATTGGATGTTGTTGTTGTTTTTTTTTTTTTAATTTTGAGCTTGCGACAGAGATAATATAAATGTTTTGTGCCCAGCTTTTGACAGATAATATAAATGTTTTGTGCCCAGCTTTTGACAGATAATATAAATGTTTTGTGCCCACCATCACATTTTATGTGGGGCATAATAAATGCTAATGATAATTGACATTCAAAATGACCTTTACCTCCGTTCAAATATGCTGTGTTCAGCTTGATAGTGATGATATCCCTCTAGTAACCTCTGGTGGAACTGCTGGCTTAACCAGAGACAATTTGTGGAATGGAATGGTCCAGACCAAGACTTGGACCAACTTACAGGGTAATATATGTAACAGGGATGAGCTAAACAAATATTATAAACAGACAAACTGATAAATATTGTCATCCTGGTATTAACAGTTTTGAAGTGACATATATTCTATGAAAGTCACTTAACTTTAGACAGCCATGAAATTGGAAATGAAAATATACATACACACTTTATTCCAAGCATTTACTTTATTAGTATCCCTGTATGGAAATATCAACACTCAACACTCAAAAAAATCTGATTCAGTATTGAACCAGACATTATAACATGCAAGATTATCCGATAAAAAAAAATTCACCCAAACAATGATTACAATTATTACATTGTCACAAGCATTGGATGCCAAATCCCTTTTCATTCATGGGTTGCTAAATGGTGTACAAAGGGCGATAACACTTGTGGTGTTTAAAAATGGTGTACCAAGGGAGGTAACTCTTTGAGCCAGGTATAAAACTATATATGGATTATTTCAGTTTTTAAAGATTCCTTGCCCGAGGGCCTGTACCGCTCACCTGTTTCTTTGGTTACATGAAACTGACATATAGGTAACTTCAGACCAAATTTGGTAACTAGAACACCAGACATTTAACATCTCTTTAAAGCTTCTCAAAATATTGTTGTTTGAAATTTCACCAAATTTTAATTTTAAAGCTTTTAACCCACGTTGACTTTCGACTCCGGCTAGCACTTAAAGTTGACATTTGACCTCATTACTTACATAAAGAAAACGATTCACAGCTGGTCTACATAACATACCCAAGTATCATGACTCTAGTCCAAATGCTTCTAAAGATATCGTTGTTTGAAGTTTATAACATATTTGACCCCTGTGACCTTGAATCTAGGTCAAGGTAACTTTAATGAGGAAACTTTATAGCACTCCATCCCAGGTACCTACTGGCCAAATATCATGACCCTGTGCCTTATGGAACTTGAGAAGAAGATTGTTAAAGCTTTTAACCCATGTTGACGTTTGACCCCCAACTAGCACTTAAAGTTGACCTTTGACCTTATTACTTTAATTGAAGAAAAGATTTGCACTGCTGATCTACATAACATACCCAAGTATCATGAATCTAGTCCAAATCCAAATCTATCTTAGGATATTGTTGTTTGAAGTTTTTAACATATTTGACCCCTGTGACCTTGAAAGTAGGTCAAGGTAATCTTAATGAGGAAACTTTATAGCACTTCATTCCAGGTATCTACTGGCCAAATATCATGACCCTAGGTCCTCTAATTCTTCAGAAGAAGTCGTTCAAAAGAAAAAGTCGACGGACGGATGACAGACAGACCTTCTGAAGAATAAACATGTTTCAATTTTCTATCTAATTTATTGGTTTTTGATGCAAACTCTTAAGTTTTGAGCATCAATGAGTTTATTTTAGCATGCCTTAAAGTAACCTGATTTCCTGACCATGATCACCATGTTTAATGAATTGACAGTAACTTTTTTAAGTATGTTGTCTGCAAATTTGTCACTTTGTGATAGTTAAAAATAGTAGACCTTGAAATATTATAGCATAATGTGATTGTTTTAATCTCATATCCATGCATCTATAGCGGGAACAATCTGTAAGCTACGACAGTAGACCCCACTTCAGTATTGAGGACTCCTCAGGTGGTTTTCATTGTTATTGCAATTAGGATACAAATCCTTTATATCAGACTCTTACTCTTCCGATACAAAAGATGTTTAAAAACAAATGTTAAGACACATACTGACAGAACATGTGTCTTCCCGGTGTTGTTTTAGCCTGGTGTTAAAACAGCTAGTTTCAGTGAAGGAGCACACACAACATCCTCTAATAGTTCATTTCATCATTTTATTAACTTTGCTAAATGTGTGCCAGTTCTTTGATAACATTCATCCATAGAATTATAAAACCACCCTCATTATTGTAAATACAACAAAATATCTTAATTTCCTTGATCATATCTCTTCTTGGTCGTCTATATCATAATGAGGGTAATTTAAGTTTCGCTAGTTTTTTCCGATATGAAAGATTTTTCACTTCTGTATTAACCTTTACCTTTAAGGTTCTCCAAACTGCTAACATTTCTGTACAGTAATTATTTAATCTCGTAGAGAATCCTAACCTTAACCACCTTCAACAACACACTTACAAAGTGAAAGAAATGTTCTGAGATCCAAAGTATAAATGCTCTTGCTGTAACTGAACTTGCCCTTTTTTCACAAGTATTTTGTTCAGGGTTGACATTCTACCTATATCTTTCTCCACAACTTTTTTCATAATACTGTTTTCCGAGCTGGTACAAGAAGTCTCCTTCAAAGTTTCTTCCCATGTGCATATATTTCCATTTTTCTTTCCATTAATCAACAGCCAAGTCTTCCTCCAAGGTTTCATCCTTTAGATCTTTTAGTATCTCATCACTGAATAAGAATGCAATTTGATTCAAGTGAACAGGGAAGGTCATTTTAAAGACAACAAACAATCTATGTTCAGAAACTCTTCCCTGCAGGACACCAGGGTCGCTTTCATTTATCACGATCAAAACGGTTGGACCAGAATGGTTCGTTTATGAAATAAGGTCAGACTTAGTAATGTGATGCTGCTTTCAGGCGAGCCTTGACAAAGCCTTGCAAGGTCTGCCTAAACATTTGCAGGTCTGGCAGGGTATTTTATACCAAACTGGGTTGTTCCGCATAAACTAACAGACCCCCCACCCCCCGTTACATTTACCGCAATCCCATGTCGTCTGTCCTTAAAAATGTCAATCCAATTAAAAATTATTTTCTGTAGCCCAGTATTTCTTAAACTTAGCAATCAAAATCTTATATGGAACAGTTTGAAACCCATACAAACACATCCCATATTCATATTGCTGTGGTTCATTGACCAAGAACTGGAAACAGTTTAAGACTAAAATCTGCTTCAAATAAATCTGTAATGTTTCTAACAAGTGCATTGAGGGAGTAAAATTGATAGTAGTATGGTTCACATATCTACTAAATATTATGCTAAAGTGAAGAAAGTGAGCAGTGCATTTTTGGTGTTTAGAAAAATGGAGCAAGTTAGATGAAATTTGGAAAAAAAATCTGGTCAAATACAAATTTTGTAGTTGTTACCTTGTGCATATGATGCTTTACTAGTCCTTTGTCTGATGAAGGTGACAGGGTACTACATATTGTGCCAGCCATCAAAACTTTAAAAATAAAAAATTCACTGGTTGTGTTATATGAACATATACAATCTATAATAATTACCAACCGGAAGAGAATATTTGAAAACTGTGGGATAAGTTGCCATCACAAAGTTAAGTAAACAGATCAACAGTGTGATATATAAAATATAAACTTTATCTATTTTACAACAATTATGCAATAATTTTTTACAACTTATACTTATCACTCTTGATGGCCCAGATGTTAGCGTGCAGGGGTCTTATTGTGGGAGGAAACTTGAGTACCCAGAGAAAACCCATGTGGTCAGGCAGGTGACCCCATACCTTTCCACGTCTAATCAGGGAATCGAACCCCGGCCACCTTGGTGAAAGGCAAGTGTGATATCCACTGCACCACACAACAGTGTGATAACGTACCGTACTCAGCATTTTTTGTACCAGACCAGAAAAAATTACTTTATTTTTTAGTTTTGAAATCATTTTTATCATGCTTATTTAGAGCAGGAGTTCTGACTGTGCATATCACTAATGCCAATAAAAACTTTAGGGTATACATATCAGTAATGCCAATAAAAACTTTAGGGTATACATATCACTAATGCCAATAACAACTTTAGGGTATACATATCACTAATGCCAATACAACTTTAGGGTATACATATCACTAAAGCCAATACAACTTTAGGGTATACATATCACTAATGCCAATAAAAACTTTAGGGTATACATATCAGTAATGCCAATAAAAACTATAGGGTATACATATCACTAAAGCCAATAAAAACTTTAGGGTATACATATCACTAATGTCAATAAAAACTTTAGGGTATACATATCACTAATGCCAATACAACTTTAGGGTATACATATCACTAATGCCAATAAAAACTTTAGGGTATACATATCACTAATGCCAATAACAACTTTAGGGTATGCAAATCTAGGGTATGTAGGGTTAGCTAAAAGACAAGTTTTTTTTATTAGGCCTTATAATGAAGTTGATGCAGGACTTAGATGCACCATCTAGTGAGCTAACAGGCACTCCACATGAGATGAGCTTAACATGACACTTTAATACTGATCTTCGGTCCCTAAAGGAAACAAGTCGGAGCTGTACAGCAACATATCAAAACAACCAAACATATTTCATCATTCGCTAAATAGTTTACTTTTACGTATCAAATTGTACAAAAATGCCACAAAACCTTCATTGAAATACATATATCCTTTTTTCTGTGGAGAAAAAGACTTGATCAAAGCAGTCTGGATTTCATTGACATGCCTGTTGAGATTGGTGTCAGAAGTTTCCGTGAGGACGGCACACTTGTGGACTAACCACCTGTAACTACTGTTACTAGTCAGCATGCACTTCTTCCCGAAGTTCTTGTCCAATTGTCTTTCAGTAAATATTTGTTCTATTTTGTCTGTCAGTGAATCATATAGTTCTTGATCACTCACTTGTATATGTTCACTAGTATCATACATGGCTGAATCTTCTCTAGAATCATCTACAACAGGATTTTCACAAGTTACTGCTGTATTTTCAATGTTATCAGTTGTAGTTAAACCTTTCCCAGTTCTATTTGTAGCTGTTTCTTCCCTGGTATGGAAACCATCAGTATTTTCACCAGTATCTTGACAACTCCCATGTGTTTCCTGCGAGAGTCTCCACTCCTGGTTTATGAGGTTTGCAAAGTGTTTGGGCTGTGTGATGTGTTTCAGTCTGCATGTTCTGTAACTTTGATTGTCCTGTGATCTTATTTCTGGGACCTGATTGGTTGTTTCCTGCGAAGCGGACCCTACATTGTCAGTGTTATCCTCCTCCTGACCACACAAAGTAGAGTCGTTAGAAGATACGGCTGACTCCTCCCTCTCAGACAACATTTTCAACGGCAGAAGTAATGCATTCTGAGAGCTTTCCTGAAACTTCTTTGCTGTAAAAAACAAAACATAAAAGAACCATCAGATCCAATACAGACATAAGAAGGGGTGATTGGAGACTGGTTAAGGAGTGATTGGAGACTGGTTAAAGAGTGATGGGAGACTGGTTAGGGGGGGATTGGAGGCTGGTTAAGGAGTGATTGGGGACTGGTTAAGGGGTGATTAGAGACTGGTTAAGGAGTGAAGGGAGACTTGATAGGGGGTGATTGGGGACTGGTTAAGGGGTGATTAGAGACTGGTTAAGGAGTGATGGGAGACGGGTTAGGGGGTGATTGGAGGCTGGTTAGGGGGTGATTGGAGGCTGGTTAAGGGGAGATTGGAGACTGGTTAAGGCGTGATTGTAGACTGGTTAAGGGGAGATTGGAGACCGGGTAGGGGGTGATTGGAGACTGTTTAAGGGGTGATTGGAGACTGGTTTAGGAGTGGTTGGAGACTGGTTACGGAGTGATTGGAGACTGGTGAAGGAGTGATTGGAGACTGGTCAAGGGGTGATTGGAGACTGTTTAAGGGGTGATTGGAGACTGGATAAGGGGTGATTGGAGACCGGTTAGGTGGTGATTGGAGACTGGTTAGGGGGGGATTGGAGGCTGGTTAAGGAGTGATTGGAGTCTGGTTCAGGGGTAATTAGGGTTAAGGAGTGATTGGAGCCTGGTTAAGGAGTGATTGGAGACTCGTTAAGCCGCGATTGGCGACTGGTTAACGAGTGACTGTAGACTGGTTAAGGGGTGATCGGAGACTGGTTAAGGAGTGGTGGGAGACTGGTTGGAGACTGGTTAGGGGGGGATTGGAGACCGGTTAGGGGGGGATTGGAGGCTGGTTAAGGAGTGATTGGAGATTGGTTAAGGAGTGATTGGAGCCTGGTTAAGGAGTGATTGGAGTCTGGTTAAGGGGTGATTGGAGACTGTTTAAGGAGTGATTGGAGACTGGTTAAGGGGTGATTGGAGACTGGTTAAGGAGTGATTGTAGACTGGTTAAGGGGTGATTGGAGACCGGTTAGGGGGTGATTGGAGACTGGTAAAGGAGGGATTGGAGACTGGTTAAGGGGTGATTGGAGACTGGTTACGGAGTGATTGGAGACTGGTTGGGGGGTGATTGGAGACTGGTTTAGGAGTGATTGGAGACTGGTTAGGGGGTGATTGGAGACTGGTTTAGGAGTGATTGGAGACTGGTTAGGGGGTGATTGGGGACTGGTTAAGGGGTGATTGGAGACTGGTTCAGGGGTGATTAGAGACTGGTTAACGGGTGATTGGAGACTGGGTAAGGGGTGATTGGAGACTGGTTAAGGGGGGATTGGAGACTGGTTAAGGGGTGATTGGAGACTGGTTAGGGGGTGATTGGAGACTGGTTTAGGAGTGATTGGAGACTGGTTACGGAGTGATTGGAGACTGGTTAGGGGGTGATTGGAGACTGGTTAAGGAGTGATTGGAGACTGGGTAGGGGGTGATTGGAGACTGGTTAGGGGGTGATGGGAGACTGGTTAAGGAGTGATGGGAGACTGGTTAAGGAGTGATGGGAGACTGGTTAGGGGGGGATTGGAGACTGGTTAAGGAGTGATTGGAGACTGGTTAAGGGGTGATTGGAGACTGGTTAAGAAGTGATTGGAGACTGGTTATGGGGTGATTGGAGACTGGTTAAGGAGTGATTGGAGACTGGTTAGGAGGTGATTGGAAACTGGTTAGGGGGTGATTGGAGGCTGGTTGGGGGGTGATTGGAGACTGGTTGAGGGGTTATAAGACACGGTAAAGGAGTGATGGGAAACTGGTTAAGGAGTGATTGGAGACTGGGTAAGGAGTGATGGGAGACGGGTTAGCGGGTGGTGGGAGACTGGTTAAGGAGTGATGGTAGACGGGTTAGCGGGTGATGGGAGACTGGTTAAGGAGCGATTGGAGACTGGTTAGGGGGTGCTGGTTAAGGAGGGATTGGAGACTGGTTAGGGGGTGGTGGGAGACTGGTTAAGGGGGTGATGGGAGACTGGGTAAGGAGTGATGGGAGACGGGTTAGGGGGTGATTGGAGACTGGTTAGGGGGTGATTGGAGACTGGTTAAGGGGTGATAAGACACGGTAAAGGAGTGATGGGAAACTGGTTAAGGAGTGATTGGAGACTGGTTAGGGGGTGATTGGAGACTGGTTAGGGGGTGATGGGAGACTGGTTAAGGAGTGATGGGAGACGGGTTAGCGGGTGATGGGAGACTGGTTAAGGGGGTGATGGGAGACTGGTTAAGGAGTGGTGGGGGACTGGTTAAGGAGTGATGGGAGCCTGGTTAGGGGGTGATTGGAGACTGGTAAAGGAGTGATGGGAGACTGGTTAAGGGATGTTTGGAGACTGGTTAGGGGGGGATTGAAGACTGGTTAGGGGGGGATGGGAGACTGGTTAAGGGGTCATGGGAGACTGGTTAAGGGGTGATTGGAGACTGGTTAGGGGGTGATTGGAGACTGGTTAAGGAGTGATGGGAGACTGGTTAAGGGATGTTTGGAGACTGGTTAGGGGGTGATTGAAGACTGGTTAGGGGGTGATGGGAGACTGGTTAAGGGGTCATGGGAGACTGGTTAAGGGGTGATTGGAGACTGGTAAGGGGGTGATGGGAGACTGGTTAAGTAGTGATGGGAGACTAGTTAATGGGTTATGGGAGACTAGTTATGGGGTGATTGGAGACTGGTTAAGGAATGATGGGAGACTGATTAAGGGGTCATTGGAGACTAGTTAATGGGTTATGGGAGACTGATTAAGGGGTCATACATAACCGTTAAGGGATCATAGTGACCAAGTAATGGCCTCGGTGACCAATTAATGGACCAAAGATGACTGAGTAAGGAAGGGGGTAAACATATTTCAGTGTCTGGTATGAATTTTGATTTCATTCATTTCCTATCAATAGTTATTTTTGGGGGAAACAGGAGCAGGCAATCACAGATAAATCCCTACTTCCATCAAGAAACCAATGACCATTAAAATTTAATTAGTTACAGAACATGATGATACCAAACTATGGATATGTTACGGTAAATACAAACAATGTTTTCACATATTTTGTACACAATTTCTTAACATTAAAAATGGTCACATTTGACTTTTAATTTTTTATCCTTGAACAATAAAATCAAAATCTTATCACGTATAGAACTGAGTGTTACCATACTTCAGTTAAAAAGTAAACTAAATATGTTTAAGACCATGTGAAAAAGCATGTAAATAAGCTTTTAACTTCAAAAGAGGTCAAGTATGACCTTTAACCCCTTAACCTTAACTAATGACCACAAAATCTAATCAGGTGTAGAACTTCATATTTATTGACTATTGTACAAATATAAATTCAATTTGTGGAGGGATTCATGAGACATCTTGCACACAAGACTTTTAACTGTTGACAGATGCACAGTGATTACTATATACATATCACAACCCTCCACTTCGTTGGGTATAAAATAAACCTAGCTGGTACATTTAAATAAAGTGTACTCACATAGTTGTTTTTCTGTGTGTCGTCCAACTCGTCTTTGGGCATGTCTGACCGATGTGGTCACCTGCTGGACGTTCTCCAAGACCCTCATGTCGCTGGAAAAAACATTGGGTCATAAGTGTCTATTAAAGTATCATTGTGTGATGAAGAAGAGGTTCACAGTATGAGGAAAACAGATCGATGAAGGCATGTGATGAAGAAGAGGTTCACAGTATGAGGAAAACAGATCAATGATGTCATGTGATGAAGAAGAGGTTCATAGAATGAGGAGAACAGATCGATGATGTCATGTGATGAAGAAGAGGTTCATAGTATGAGGAAAACAGATAGATGATGTCATGTGATGAAGAAGAGGTTCATAGAATGAGGAAAACAGATAGATGATGTCATGTGATGAAGAAGAGGTTCACAGTATGAGGAAAACAGATCGATGATGTCATGTGATGAAAAAGAGGGTCGAATGAGGAAAACAGATCGATGATGTCATGTGATGAAGAAGAGGTTCATAGTATGAGGAAAACAGATAGATGATGTCATGTGATGAAGAAGAGGTTCATAGAATGAGGAAAACAGATCGATGATGTCATGTGATGAAGAAGAGGTTCACAGTATGAGGAAAACAGATCGATGATGTCATGTGATGAAGAAGAGGTTCACAGTATGAGGAAAACAGATCGATGATGTCATGTGATGAAGAAGAGGTTCACAGTATGAGGAAAACAGATCGATGATGTCATGTGATGAAGAAGAGGTTCACAGTATGAGGAAAACAGATCGATGATGTCATGTGATGAAGAAGAGGTTCACAGTATGAGGAAAACAGATCGATGATGTCATGTGATGAAGAAGAGGTTCACAGTATGAGGAAAACAGATCGATGATGTCATGTGATGAAGAAGAGGTTCACAGTATGAGGAAAACAGATCGATGATGTCATGTGATGAAGAAGAGGTTCACAGTATGAGGAAAACAGATCGATGATGTCATGTGATGAAGAAGAGGTTCACAGTATGAGGAAAACAGATCGATGATGTCATGTGATGAAGAAGAGGTTCACAGTATGAGGAAAACAGATCGATGATGTCATGTGATGAAGAAGAGGTTCACAGTATGAGGAAAACAGATCGATGATGTCATGTGATGAAGAAGAGGTTCACAGTATGAGGAAAACAGATCGATGATGTCATGTGATGAAGAAGAGGTTCACAGTATGAGGAAAACAGATCGATGATGTCATGTGATGAAGAAGAGGTTCACAGTATGAGGAAAACAGATCGATGATGTCATGTGATGAAGAAGAGGTTCACAGTATGAGGAAAACAGATCGATGATGTCATGTGATGAAGAAGAGGTTCACAGTATGAGGAAAACAGATCGATGATGTCATGTGATGAAGAAGAGGTTCACAGTATGAGGAAAACAGATCGATGATGTCATGTGATGAAGAAGAGGTTCACAGTATGAGGAAAACAAATCGATGATGTCATGTGATGAAGAGGAGGTTCACAGTATGAGGAAAACAGATCGATGATGTCATGTGATGAAGAGGAGGTTCACAGTATGAGGAAAACAGATCGATGATGTCATGTGATCAAGGAGAGGTTCATAGTATGAGGAAAACAGATCGATGATGTCATGTGATCAAGGAGAGGTTCATAGTATGAGGAAAACAGATCGATGATGTCATGTGATGAAGGAGAGGTTCATAGTATGAGGAAAACAGATCGATGATGTCATGTGATGAAGAAGAGGTTCATAGTATGAGGTAAACAGATCGATGATGTCATTTGATGTAGGCCCACAAAATGCTCAAAATATGATCCAAATGAACAAGGTTCCTGTTAATGAGAATTACATGTAGAGAAGGTACAGTGTGATAAATATATGACAAAAATAGCCAAGGTTCATGATGTGATGAATGAAGATATCATGATGAAAACCGGCAAGGTTCATGGTGTTATAAAATGGAGAAGTTCATAGCATGAACCAAATCCAGTAAGTTCTGATATTCTTTGAGACCATTTTAAACAAAATATTGTAACACTTACAAGGTTTTAGACATCAGATGGGTCAAGGTCAGTTTCTGTTTTTTGTTGATGTGACAAACCCAATCATCCCAGACAAACAGTTGCACTACAATATAGAAACAGACTTCTTAAACTATAACAAAGAAACAGTCATTTTCTGACAAGTTTGTTTCTGTTTACAGTGACATTGGCCTTGTACTAATGATGTCACTCAAACTTGTTCAGTGACTTTATCTTTGACAAATGGCCTAAATATCTTTTATTGTAAAAGCAATCATACCTGGGAAATTTCATAAACTAATTCACCCCTGTTAAAAAGTAATATTTGAACCTTACCAAATCAAAGACTGGGCAAGTCCAGTTTAAATATGTAGGGGTGAATGAGTCAAAATCTGTCAGGAAATAGGGCTGGTAGAGTGATGACAATGAGTGTGACGGACAGACAGTACAGAAATATATCATTCCTTGCTTCATGAAGCAAGAATCAACGGTTTTATGGAGAGGTCTAGGATCAGAAGGTCACAAGGTCAGAGTTAATATTGTTCTGGATTGGTCAAGGGTTTGAGGGTCCATGTTTTTTTTGTTTTTTTTACAAAGTCTAGGTTTAGGGGGTAGAATTCTCATTAAAATACGTAGAAATAGAGTTTGCAATAATTTAGAAATCTCTTTTCCTGAAATTTCAAAATTAACACCAGGAAAATCAGTTTAACAAAATATGACTTTGATTGAATTATTTGAAATCTGTGTTAAGTTTGCCGACTGCATATATCAATGTTAAGTCACTTACCAACGGGAATCAAGGACTCCATCTTCTTTGAAATCTTTGACAACTTCCTTAACAGAAGACATTTTACATATATATGTATTCTCTCATTTTTCCCCCTATCTACGGGTTGTGTAAAAGATAAAAAGCTTTAAAATCATTACAAAACCTGGCGCAGGATATGTTACTTATCCTGGGCTATTTGTGCTTTCAAAAATTTGAAAAACCAAAATTTTCATCAGTTTGAAAAGTTCTATGAAAAGATACCTTGTAAAGAGTTTGCTCACAATACTCACTTGTTCTCTATATCAGTCTATCTACCTTCTGGAAAATGTTGGCTTGACAATGTTTTAGATGATGCAAATAAACAGTGTCTTCTTATAAGCCATGTAATCTTACTTTTAATCTGTGCCCTTATTTTCCTAGGTAACTGATCCAGTCTTTAATGACACAGATAAGACACTAAACTGTGGTTGACAGTCTGTACCTTTCTATTGAGCCGTCCAGACCAATGAGAATCTCCAGGGTGGTGATGATGAACGCCATAGCTATACTGTCGTAACTAGGCAGACCTATCCTCTTGTAGTGTTTTACATATGCTGTTAGTTCCTGGATCTTGTGTACAAATCCATGAAGGTCACCTTATAACACACACAGAAGTATAAATGAGCGTGACAAACATTCTGTGCTGAACAGAAATACAAGGTACTCCTGCAAATAATTATACGATAAAATTACATCATTTTGAAAAGAAACTATCCAACCACCGATGTCTATACCTGGTACGTGTACTAGGTAATTGGATAATTTCTTTTCAAAATGATGTAATTCTATGTGAAAACTACAGTATAGCATATTTATAAGTGTTCCCATTAAGTTTTTAAATAGGTGGTTGATTTAAAACATATAGCCGGTTGAATGTTCACATGATACAATGTTGACCTAGACGTATTATGCCAGAATTACCCATTCAAAGTTCAAGAATAGCAGGCCACTTTTGCTACCAACCAACTTTTATTGAGAAAACTGTTTATTAATGTAACAAAGGTTATTCTCTACAGAATAAGTTAACTTAGAGAAATTCTCCCTAGCAGAGTCAAGACGAAGTGGCAAGGTTTTTTTTCAATAGGGTGACATTACAAATTCTTCCTCAAAACAAAGCCATGTGTCCCCTGGTGTGGAATAATTCACATTCTTTTCTCTAGTGAATTTTGCCTATTACAAACAACAAGTTTTTTAAAGTTTTATTTCCATGAGTTATAAAGTTTACCAAATCATTTTAAGAAGAATAAAGAATACAGTGACATATTCAGGTTTAACATTCTAAACAACAAAATGGAACAGCTTGTTTACTTAAACATACTCCAGACAATGTACTTGAGAAGACTAAACTGATTACAGATTTAGAAATGACACTATCAGAACACACCTGGCAGCTCCAAGATGACCAGGTATTTATTGATGAGGTCTGTTATAGGGGGCATTGGAATATCCAGGAGGTCAAGATAATTTATCATCTGACCACTATTCTGTCGAAGTTTCTCCTCAGATACAGGTAGATTCTGTAACAGAAAGGCAAATTTCAAATGGTTACCATGGCGATAATAACTAGAAAAACTAAATCCTTTCTTTATAATAAAGTAATGGGGATGTAAAGAAATTTGGAAAAAAGGTGACTTGAGAATTTAATTAAATACTTTGTATTTTGATTGAATTGAGGACCAAAAAATCCCCCCATAAACCATCCATAGTTCTTTGACGCTGAACAATGTTAATTATTAAATTGCAATACATATACCTACGATTTACCATATCTTACAGCATACACGACCCACTATATAATGATGCTTTATTGAAGTTGATTAGACATAATGTGACCTGTGATAGCACTAACATGTGAAGGATGTGAATGATTTCCATTATATTACACCTACCAAGTACTTACTGCGCGAAATGTGTTACTGTCATAGGGACCAAACTTCATGTCCTTAGGAAGAAGGTTAGAAGCCTTTTCATAAGGAATCTCATTTTCATGAACCCATCTGTAAAGGGATCAGACACAATATTCACAAAACAAGTAGATTTGAATTAAATCTGATTTACAGAAGAGACAGTTTGAAACCAGAGGGGTTGGATTTGGAAAGGCTTCAGGATCATATCTCCCTCAGCTTGCTATTTTGACATTTAAAAATGCATACAATTTTTGAACACCCCAGGTATATTTTGACACTTTAGATCCAACCCCATCTCCTCTAGAACAACCTCTGGATCCAACCCCATCTCCTCTAGATCACCCTCTGGATCCAACCCCATCTCCTCTAGATCAACCTTTAGATCAAACCCCATCTCCTCTAGATCACCTTCTGGATCCAACCCAATCTGACCTTGATAACTCTGGATCCAACCCCATCTCCCCTTGATAACTCTGGATCAAACCCAATCTCCCCTTGATAACTCTGGATCCAACCCCATCTCCCCTTGATAATCTGGATCCAACCCCATCTCCTCTAGATAACTCTGGATCCAACCCCATCTCCTCTAAATCACTTTCTGGATCCAACCCCATCTCCTCTAGATCAACCTTTAGATCCAACCCCATCTCCTCAAGATCAACATTTAGATCCAACCCCATCTCCTCTAGATCAACCTCTGGATCCAACCCCATCTCCTCTAGATCAACCTCTAGATCCAACCCCGTTTCCTCTAGATCACCCTCTGGATTCAACCTCATCTCTCCCAAATCACCCTCAGAATCCAACCCCCTATCTCTAGATCTTTCTCTGAAACCACCCCCTATCTCTAGATCAACCTCTGGATCCAACCCCATTTCCTCTAGATCAACCTCTGGATCCAACCCTATCCCTAGATCTCTCTCTGGATCAAACCCTCTGGGTTTAACCTTATCCCTAGATCTCTCTCTGGATCCAACCCCCTATCTCTAGATAACCCTCTGGATCTAACCCTATCCTTAGATCTCTCTCTGGATCCAACCCTCTATCTCTAGATCACCCTCTGGATCTAACCCTATCCCTAGATCTCTCTCTGGATCCAACCCCCTATCTCTCAATCACCCTCTGGATCCAACACCATCTCCTCCAAATCACCCTCAGAATCCAACCCCTTATCTCTAGATCACTCTCTGAAACCAGCCCCTATCTCTAGATCACTCTCTGTATCCAACCCCATCTCCTCTAGATCAACCTCTGGAGCAGACCCTATCCCTAGATCCCTCTCTGGATCCAACCCCCTATCCCTATATAACCCTCTGAATCCAACCCCCTATCCCTAGATCCCTCTCTGGATCCAACCCCCTATCCATATATAACCCTCTGAATCCAACCCCCTATCTCTAGATCACTCTCTGGATCCAAACCTATCCCTAGATAACCCGCTGGATCCAAACCTCTATCTCTAGATCACTCTCTTAAACCAACCCCATCTCCTCTAGATCCCCCTCTGGATGACCCTCTGGATCTAACCCCATCTCCTCTAGATCACTCTGGATCCAACCCCATCTCATCTAGATCACCCTCTGGATCCAAACCTATCCCTAGATAACTCTCTGGATCCAAACCCCTATCTTTAAATCACTCTCTGAAACCAACCCCAACTCCTCCTAGATCCCCATCTGGATCTAACCCCATCTCCTCTAGATTACTCTCTGGATCCAACACTATCCTAGATCACTCTCTGGCTCCAACCCAATCATCTATCGATTACTTTCTGGATCCAACACTATCTCCTCTAGATGACTTCTGGATTCAACTCCATCTCCTCTAGATCACTCTGGATCCAACCCCATCTCCTCTAGATCACTCTGGATCCAACCCTATCCCTAGATAACCCTGGATCCAACTCCATCTCCTCTAGATCACTCTCCGGAAAAGCCCACCCAATCTAGATCAGAACCTCAGGTAATAGCAACAGACATTCTATGAAATTTTCTTGCACCTTTTTGTAAATATGTCTGTTTGCAGTATACTTCATTAAGGCAAGATAATGGCAAGTTAATCATTTTAAAAACACTTATTAACATGTTTTACACGTTCCTGTACGACATCTTAAAAATTAGTGGATTCCTTATTTAAACAAAGTCTTCCATACTGTCATTTAAAAGAATGACCTCTGATACTAGTTGATTATAATTCACATTGGATTAATGTCAATCTCTTGAAATTGATTTACATCACATTCATTTTGTCATAATTTTGGTAACTTCTAAAAAGGCAATGCAATTAAATATATTAAATGGATTTTTTTTTACAGCTGACCTGACAATGTCCACTGCTGTGGTCAAAGGATTGGTGTACATCAGACCTAGATGACAGAACGCTAATGTCTTCTTCATACTCATGAAACCTGGGTGTCGTATGTACGACCGCCTCGTCTGAAAGTACCAAACAGTTAAAGGGGCTCGGGTCATGAAAAAATAGTAGAAATATATGTTTTATCAGAGTACCAATCAATTAGTTGGTTTGAGTAGTGATTGATCCAATATTTCCAATCCACCCGCAGTCCAACATCCACCTTTTCTCCCAATCTTTCACCAATGGGAAAAAATACTTCTGAGTCAATGAGTCAATGAGTCAAGTTTGCAAATATACTAATCTACCAGCACAGAAACTATGAGATTCTGTATGAATATAATGTTTAACAGTTTTAACATTTTTTTTAATATTACTAAAGGTCATTAGAAAATATCAAAACAGACGGAATGAACAATTTATAATGAATTTATACCAAGTGTGTAGAGCTTTGACCATCTTCTTCAATGTCGCTGTTGTCATCCGAGTCCACATCAAGTTCATCCCCAGACGTAGGCTTTCCTTGGCCACGTTGAAATGGATTGTCGTCATCATAAAACTCCTCTTCCCTCAAGGAAAATTGCAGTTCTTGACTCTCCTTTTGAATTGTAAAATTTTAGAAAAACACATTTTAACACATCAATATTGTGTCGTTGAACACATGGAACACATACAACCATATAAAATCAAGGGAATATATTGTCTAAAATGAGTTCTAAGCTTACAACACCTATCATTAATTACCTTTCCTGGTTCCAATATTGAGTCAATTTTCTGTAGATGACTCAGCTCTGACTTGACCCTTTAACTTATTGTTTTGATACATGAAAAATAATGGTTTGTAATATTTATTTACACAAATATCCATTATTTCTATTTGTCATGCAAAACAGGGGTTAAACTATAAAATACCTTTTTATGGAATACAAAATCTAGTAGAAATTAAAGCCAGTTTCTGGAAATGATCTGTCGTAAGGGATTTTCAGCATCTTCTTTGTACAGAAGTTAAGATATTACACAATTTGACGATGGCAAATTCCTTTTCTTTCAGGAATCTGAATAAACATCATCTAGGAATACTTCCTGCCACTTACGTATTAATTGGCCAGGTGAAAATTGTTCGAAGAAGTTTCCAGACGGGACTGGAAAGAAAGGACCTGTTACAGGAACAAAAGAATTTTGCCCACAAAGCAATTTAACCATTACTGGGTTAAATTTGTAGCTCCCTAAGACACGACCCATGAGATGTTTTTAAAAAATGAAAAAGGTCCCCAGGGCCTGTGCTATGAACTATTTAGTGATGCCTTCCAAAGGTGTACGACAGGGTTCACTTTTTTGTCCAAAAAACTATCAAAACAATGTTTTACGCTATCAAATAATATTATATTATTTAAAGTAGGATCTGCTGCAAATTATGAACTCAAATATGTTACAAAAAATTGCATAATAAAAAAAATATAAAATCTTAAACTCTAAAAATGTTGGTATTTTCATACATTTTTTTGCTACATCAATTGCTTTACGGTAGTAAAACACCAATTTCCGGTTCTTGTACACCAAAAATCTTTTAGTATTATTTGGTGCATTATGTTGAGATACGATAGTGAAAATTTCAGAAAATTTGAGAACCGGTAAATTTGTCATATAAATGTCAAATTGTAGCAACGTCTATATCCAAATAAAATCCAACAACCTTATGATCTATAGTCATGTTTGATAATTTAACAATATGTCGCACCAATTTATTATCGCAACTGATCAAATTTTCATCAATAAGATCTGCTGCTCATGATGAGCTCAATTATAAAGCTAGATGTTGCAAAATAGAAAAGTTATGCAGTCTCACACACATAAACGTTTAGTATGTTATGTACATTTTTAGTTGTTTCGCATCTTTATGAAAGTGATATACATATTTCCGTCTTTTGTACACCAACATACTTTAGATATTATTTGGCACATTATGTTGACTGACGATAGTAGAAATTTCGAAAATATCGGTATGCGGTAAATGTGTCATTTTAAGGATAATATGTGTATGACCAATGTCAAAATAAACTTCAATAACTTCCGGTTAATGCAAGTATTTCATAATTAACCCAAAATCATTCCAATATACTATCATGGTGGATGATATGGTTCATAGTAGAGTATGACTGTTTAACTAAACTAGGTAGTTAAAGGGGGGAATACAGCAAAAGTTAGGCAATTTGTCAGAACATTTGGTGAACCAGTATAATATGTTGAAGATATGTTAACCTATCACATTGTTTCTTTTTAGGAGAGTTATAGTTTCCAATTCATGGATTGTTGTATTTACTGTTAATGTTTTTTAATTTGACAACACGTAGTCAAAATTGAACATTCAATTTTTTTTCTGAATTTCTCCTTTCTCAGTTCAATCTTAGGTCTTATTATTTTTTCATATTATTCCCGACAAGTAATTGGCCAGAAGTGCATCAAGTATCCACCGATAAAAACTGATTTTGACTTGGAGCACATGGTTTTTGTTGAAGGACTAGGTGTTTCTAAAAATAGAATTATGATGTGTCTCCAAACAATGCACCGTCCCACTTCCGAAGCTTTTTTTTTCTTCTCCAGATTACTAACACTACTGTTTTGTAAAATAATAAAACAATTGAAACCTTTAACTTTGGTCAATACCTGGATTTATCAACCCGAGAAAAGATATATACGATAAATCCAGGTATTGACCTCAGCCAAAGGCTATAATTGAATAATATTTCTTTTTTGAATGCATTCATAATATGCACTCTCTGAATTTGCAAGCTGAAGGCTGGAGTGGTTTAGCATCTGTTAAATGTGCATAGTATCCTAGATAATACAGTATTCTGCGGGCCGGGCGGGCAGCGGGGCGGATGCGACACGAGTACACATACCCGATGTTCTCTTTCCTGCAGGACACACACAATAGTATGCCTTGACAGGATCCTCTGATGCGTGTAGGTCAAACTCTATGCAGACATTGTATTTTGCCTGCGACCTGTGGCGAGAGTGTATTTGGCCTCGGAAAAGGCCATCGGCATGTTGGTACACCCATATCTCATAATCACCCCCATCCGTCTGATGTTCTGTAATATAGTCAGGTGCCAGCTTCAGCTGGTATGTACCACAAGCCAAAATCGCATTGACCTGGAGTTATTGACGATTTATTTTGACATTGGTCATACAACATATTATCCTTAAAATGACACATTTACCGCATACCGATTTTTTCGAAATTTCTACTATCGTCGGTCAACATAATGTGCCAAATGATATCCAAAGTATGTTGGTGTACACAAACCGGAAATATGTCTATCACTTCCGTAAAGATGCGAAACAACTAAAAATGTACATAACATACTAAACGTTTATGTGTGTGAGACTGCATAACTTTTCTATTTTGTAACATCTAGCTTTATATTTGGGCTCATCATGAGCAGCAGATCTTATTGATGAAAATTTGATCAGTTGCGATAATAAATTGGTGCGACATATTGTTAAATTATC